AAGCAATCATATAAGTTATATAGCCGGCCCTTAAATGGGTTGGTTTCACGACAAAAACTGACCTGGAAGAACACAACTAAATTGTTAGCAAAAGAGAACGTGATACCAAGAAGTCGTTCCAAGATATTTGATTTTTGGGAAGCAAAATGAGTCTTACCCAATGATCAATCCATTGAAGTGTTGGAATACAATGTGGTCTTTGTCTCAAGTGGTGCCCTTTACCTCTGTGGCTATTCCAAGGTGTCCCTTTTCTGTTTCATGTGGTGAAAAAGTTGGAGACACATGACTTGCTGTTACTGTACATGTACTATAGTGTACAGTAGTTGACATAAATCAAACATCATTAACTATACACTGTACTTCATTAAGGGATCATAATGGTTACTGATGGGTTAGTTGACCATGATATCATTTATCAAAATCAACTCGTGCAGTATGTCTTCGCATTTCGCAACTCGCGTTTGTCCCACAACTTGCGAATTGAGCCACCACTCGCAGTCGGCGCGTCGTCTCGGCGCTGTTTGGCGATGCAGAGACAAAGTCGTGCCAGCGGGTTGGATGAAGGTCCAATAGTGTCCGGTACTGGTTACTACCGGTTGCTACTTGGTGTTTGACCACATTTAGGAAGATGGAAGTGGATGATAAGCCCAAAAAGCCATCCCCTGGAACTCATTAGCTTCGGAAGGGAAATTGGCCAAAATCCCTTGCTTCTCATCAGGTCCTTTCATTTTGGGCTGTACCAGTATCGATATAGCAGTTCGATGTGTATTTGGAGATATTCGAGCTGATTTTGAGTGAGTAACAAGCATCTCACAAGTAGTATATAATAGTATATATACAATTATATATTATAATATATCATTAATAATCACCCAGTATATAACACAATACAATACAATACAATACAATTATAAAAATCATTTGTAATTATATATATATTATTAGTTTTCTTTGGGATGACCCATGGCCGCAGGATGGTACAAAGCCTGGCCTCGCTGCCAGATGCCATGCGCTTGGGACTCTGAGGAATGCCTTGCTGGTCGAGATCCTGGCGAAACAAAACCACCGTTTTTTTTCCTGGGAATGGTAACCATACCACCTATAAACATGGTGATGACAAAAGGGGCTGGTTTAATTTTGTTTTACCCTCATCAGTGTTTTTTAATTTTTTCAGATGCATGCAGATTTGTAAGATTGATAATATGATTGTGAAAAAAAACATGTTGAAGATAGTGGATTTCACATAGAGTGTCAGATTGCCATATGTGTTGTTTTCCACGGATGTTAGATCCCCGAAATACATCACCAGAGTCAAACAGCCTTTCATTGATGGGTAAATTCAACTTCTAAGGACTTCCCTGGCCAGCGTCACTTGAAATGATGGGAATGGTAAGGGTGTAAGGTCTCCAATCGTTGTCAGGAATGATGGGCCGACCCCACTGTAAGGGTGACTGGGCTCTTGAACAAACCCAACGATCACTGGCCATAAATATATATATATATATAAATATGGCTAAATCATAACGACCTCACTGCGACGTCGCTGTCTTTCTATACTGATTCGTAAGGGATCCAAATAGGATGGATTTGATTTCATCTGGCCCATCCCAATCCTGTTCGATCAGGATCTCTCCCCGGCCCACTCCAAAGAACGCGCCGACCTGGAAGTGCGCAACAGCCAAGCCTTGGTGCCAGTGTCCTCCTACGGGGGATGAAACTTTTTTGAGCCAAAAAAGAACCTGGATTTGCTGATGATTTTCTAGTATGTTCTATTTTTCCCAACTGGAAACCACTTGAAATAGGGAATGTATAGGGATTATCTGTTGTTTTCAGGGGTTTGCTTTAGCAAAAAACAAGAACAGGTAGGTATAAAAGCAACGGTATAAGGATAAATGAATCATGAATCAATACATACATAGCCGACATAGCCGACAGACGATATATGAGTTCGGCTTGGTTTCCTCTGATTTGTTGGTTGTTTTGTCATTAGGGAGCATGATTCATGATCAACCATCAAATGTGGGTATCTTATTTCGGACAACCTCATTTTGGGGCCCTGGGTGCAGCACAATCCTAGGATATCCTAGGTGTTTTGTTGAGATTTGTGGAGGACCTAACAATTCGCATCAAAGATCCAACCCAAGTTGATGGCCATTTCAATCAATAGAGGTATTTGCCCGAAGCATTTTGTTGGGTGTTCATCTTCAATTTATATATATATATATATAGACATGGCCTCTCAGGCTACACAGTCATTAAGCCTCAAGCCATATCGCTCCAAAGATATTCACCAACATTTACCAAACATGACCGGCATGACAGGCTTCCATAGATGTCCCAAATTCCCATTGGTTGGTTGATGAAAGGAGCAGTTTGTTTAGCCTTTCACCAAAAGGACATGATTGTTTGGTTCAATTTTTCGGATCCTGATAGTCAATGAGATGATCATTTCTATTGGAAGGATTGGAAGGGCTGAAGGCTGTTTCACCGCCAACCAGGAAATCTCATGGCACTGCAACTCAAAGTTTGCCCTGCGAGTCAAGACCAGTCGGAAAAAATAAGTGATTCTTTGGATCTTTGGGACGCCTATTTAACAGACAGCATGATAAAACAATAGCCATAAATAACCATCAATAACCATCAATAACCAAACATATTTCCATCAATTACCATCAATAGCCATAAATAGCCATCAATAACCACCATATTTGATGGTGATTCAGCCTATTGAAAAACGGAAGCTATTGAGCAGAAGCGTGACTCACGTCTCCACAAAGGTGAGCAGTGGAGAAACATATCCCATGCTCTATATATATATACATATAAAATATCTGTTTAAGAGGATATGGATATATATATATATATATATGTAACATATTTATAATATATATATTTATATAAGGTATATATACTATATACAGTAATTATTGGTTTAACATGATTTAAACACAATGGTGAATATCTGAATCTTTGTGTACCATCATATATATATATATACGATGTCATATCGATTATTCAAGTGTTAAGACTAAAAAACAACATTGACGCCTGGTTGGACTCGGCGATGAAGTTCCAGAGGAACCCAAAGGAGTTCCCACGACTTGGTCATGGATGATTCATGGCTCTGTGACAGCACGGTATGGTTTTCACAGCAACTTAGCTTGGAAGTTTATGGATGTCCATCCCAATCATATCTGGTTGGTGGTTTGGAACATTTGTTCTTTTTCCATATAGTGGGAATAAGCAGCCCAACTGACTAATATTTTTCGGAGGGGTTGAAACCACCAACCACTGCCGGTTTGGTTTCTGAGCGGAGAAACTCCAGCATGGTGAAAGTGGGTATATCCCTATGCCTGGGATCTGTCCCTCCAGTTATGGTTGGTTTTCATGGGTGACTATGTCATTGTGCTTTTCTTCATAGAAGTCATTGCCAGATTTAAGGATTTTTTTTGGGGGTGTAACATGGTGTAACCAGGATCAACCATAAACTCAGAATCCTCTCAAGCAAGCAGTGGAACCAATGCCCAATGGGGCTCGATGAAAACACTGCAAATCTGGGATTTGGGAGTTTTTGCGATGTATCATGGATGTATCATGGATTTCTGGGTTTTTGCTGGACTATACAAGAAATGTTGGATGTATCATGATGTATCTGAAACATGGACCAATATGTCCAATATGGTCCATGTATCCAGAGAAGTTAAAAAAGGTTCTCAACTCGGAAACCTTGGGATAACCCCCGAGACCTGGACGTTGCTTGGTTACACATGAATATATATACATATATATTGTATATATAATATAATATATATATATACACTGTAAATATATTTTTATATTATATATATGAATGATATCCGCCATGATATTCACATATCATATAGCCACAGCAATCCACATCATATCTACAGCAATTCAGATTTTATCATATTCTACTGATTCTACCGGTAGTGTAGCAGTTTTGCTATGGAAAATCGCCATTTGTTTGCTAAAGGTGTCACATCTATTTTCATGGCCCATTTGGCCCTTCAATGGCAAACTGAGCCATTCTTCGGAGCTTTCTACAGAGCCGATCTCTACAAATTGGGGCGACTCCGCCGGTGATTCGTTGTCCTTGGAGCCTGATGGAATCCCTAACGAGTTGGTACACTTTTGGTGAGAAGTTCCAATGTCTCACAATAAGTTTCATGGAAACTTGGATATCATCATTTGATTGATGTTGTGATTCAGTAATTATAAATGATATATTCATTTATTAATTGATTATAATTATCGAAAGGGAACCAGCTCAAGATGGCTTGAGTTTTTGTTTGCCCCACCTCAGTTTTTATTTTTAGTGTATTGACTCTTAAACGAAGCTTTAGGTCATTTGTTTATTCCATCATTGAGCCAGACAGATTTCCCCCCATGATCTGACCTGTGCGGCTTTGATACTGATGGAACAACTCTGTGCCATCGGTCATCATCATCTTCTGGAATCAAATGGACATGTTACAAATCATCTGGCCAATGTTCAGACAAACATCGGATTTCAAAGCAATCAGCCGAAGAACGGGCTCTAATCGGACCTCCTGTAGCGTTGCGGTGGAGTCCATTTCTGGGGTGATTTCGGTGCTGGCGAGCTCCGTGTCCGTGAAAACGCAGCGTGGAGCTGGCTGATGAATCATGTTTTTTTTGGGGCTCAAAATGGCCATGAAACCACCCATTTTCCTGGGAATGGTAACCACACCACCTATAAAAATGGTGATTTTCCGGCATGGTTTCTGAATTTTACCCACATTATACCAAAATTGCCATAAGTTGATATCAAATGGGTTTGCGTAAAAAACACAATGGGTTTGCTGCATGTGGGTTCTTCAAACCAGGTCAGGTTTGATGGTGCCCAATTTCATGTGAGGAGAGCCACCAACCAGGCATTACTTATGCCATTTATTACACCTTTGCGATCCTTTGTTTTGATGTGTTGGTGTTGATTTTTGTTGGTCGCAGCTGAAGATCTTCCGGCTCACAGGATTGGCCCTTTCGATGTCGGCATGGCCGTCCGGGTTGGCTCCGCGCGGCGAAGCTGGAGGTTTTTGATTTGCCTCGCGGGGGGATTACTCTTCGTGAACGCATTACTTTCATTACTTCCCAGCTTCGCACTCCCGAGCGCACTGGCAGATGGACACAGATCGCTTGTGGATTTCAAGACTCCGGAGACAGATCGCTACCGTCCCATTACCATCTTCAACCTCGAGGAAGTCGCGAAGAGATTTCCCAGGCCCTGGAGTGTTTTCTGAGCATTTCAAGTGGTGTGGTCAACCCCTCTTTTCCACTTCTTCCATTCTTTTCCCATCAATATCCATCAATGATCAATGATGTAGGGAAACAGCCAACAAAAATCAGCCATCAGCTCAAGCCATTCTTCAGCCATTCTTCAGCCATTGGTCCGCAGGTTGGCTGAATGTCTGGATGACATTCGTTTATCCTCCTTGGTATTTCCCTTCAAGGTTAGCCCTTACGTCTTGGAGGAATTGATCGATTGGCAGAGGGAGGGATCCATTCGAGACGACCCCTTCTACCGTTCCCTGGCGCGTTTTCATGGGATGAGGATCATGGTATTTTGAAGATGTTTTTTCAGATCATGGGGAAGATTGGTAGTATAATTATGTAGTATTATGTAGTATTATGTAGTATTATGTAGTATTATGTAGTATTATGTAGTATTATGTAGTATTATGTAGTATTATGTAGTATTATGTAGTATTATGTAGTATTATGTAGTATTACTGGGCATATGTATATATTATATATCTTGAAGATTTGCTGGGAATATGTGTAGTGCCCTCCCGAAATCCAACGGCCTGGCTGTGAAATCATCAAAATAAACGGGTGATTTACCTGCACGCCATGTTTGACACGCCATGTTTGACTATCAGAGGGTATGTTTTCTGCTGTTGATTTGTTTTGAAACAAGACCTGGTACTGGCAAAATGGTGGTTATGGTGGTTATGGTGGTTCCGGTTCACCCTAAAGGTCATAGTCCCTTGTAACCAGTGTAGATATTACAGACTTGTCATGAACTACAGTACCACGAATCACGATGTAATACCTTTCAATACATGTTGCTCCAAACATGGACAATCAACATTTGAGATAGGACAATCCTCTAGACATTCAAGACGTTTCATTTTTATGTTTCTTTTGCGCGAGGCTTTTGTGTGTGTGTAGACCCTTGAAACATAGGGAATGGAACAACTCCATGCTGTCATGCTGTTTTCATGAATGTGACCTGAAACTTTTCATCTTGCGTTGGTTATTCCTTTTCAACCTTCGCCTGGCTTTCCTTCTGTACATGCGCAAATTTCGATCCACAGCAGGGGGCCACGGCTCCATTCATCAGTCCGTGGCCAACGAAGCTACTGATGTTTGGAGGGGATATGCAGTCTGATCAAGTGCACGTACCTGCTATAGATGGGGTCAGGTATGACAGGAGTCATGGTCAGGAACGGATGTAAAACGTTGGCGCGGAACGCGTGTCGTACGATTCTTGCTTTCAACCTTGCTTGGGACTTGTCTCATGTGTTGTTTGCTGTCGGACTGTGGTAGACCAGGATCGACGGTTTTTGAACTTATAAAGGTCAACGTGATACAACTCAAGTTTCGTGATCGCTCACTTGTTTGACGTTTGACGTTTTTTTTGGCATCTTGCTGACCTGTTTGATGTTTGACTTTTTGCATCCTGCTGAATTGTTTGATGTTTGACTGATCGCATGTCAATTTCTTCAACTTCGTCTTCATGCGAATGGCCAACGTCGTCCAGGCGCGACTTTATCATCTCAGGATATGGCTTGACAATTTCAATTCTCACCCATCAGTGTGTTCAGTGCCTGGGGCCACGTGACTCCCAGGGGCTTTGCCCTGTTGTGTGACAACTGGGGCCCAACAACATAGCAGAGCTTACTCTAGCTCCGTCAAGCTCAAAGAGCAGGCTAGACCATCGCGTCAGGGAATTCCCGACCAGAGGTCGTAATGAACAGATTGTTTATATATACAAAGAGATGAAGGTCGATTCCCAGGTAGACAGTCCAGAGGACATGATCAACACATGTGTCAGTCTCTACAACATGCGTGATGACGTCAAAGCGCCGCGTCGATATATTCATCAAGGTTTTACTCCCTCTTTGGTTTCTTTCTCAAGCTTCTTTCTGTCTTGTTCGTTAGCTTCCACAGATTCGACAAACCATCCAAACTTTCTGGATTGACTCACGTGCAAATCATGCCGAGTGTCGATGCAAGTTTCAGACCTTTGACGTTGTTGGGCTCACAAAAGTGAAAAGTTGAAAACAGTTTCTTGTACAAGAACATGCCATGAAATACTTTCAGGGAATCATGTTGGGGCGATTGGAAGTTGTCCCTCCGATACACCTAACGGCTCGGGGATGGGATTTGATTTTGTTTTTCAGTGTTTTCTATTATTGAGAGGGTTGAAAACTATGCCTTCCGAGCGGTTGCGCCATGGAAGACGGTCGAGAAGTAGCCGAAGCGGCCATCGACGACGAATCAGTGTTTCACCAGTGCCACGTAGAGAGAGAAGCCGGCCCCAAAACATAGTTGAGTCTGGAGCTGCGACAAGGTCCAAAGCTCCGCCACCTCCAGTGCCACCAAAACTGACGATCAATGTTCGGCCTGATCAGATCAAGATAGACGTGTATGATACAGCCACTCTGTCCGACCCTCATGTTCAGAGCATGTTTCAGGCAATTTCTATGGGATCACAGTCCGCATTATCTGCCTCAGCTCAGCCCATTTTACAGATGACGCAACGTACTCTACCTTCGAGGGAAAGTATGCGTCCAAAGGCGCCAGCATTGCCAATGTGGGCACAAGGGCTCCCTTCGGATCTGTCTTCTCTTCCTCCTCCTCCTCCACGTACCAAACATGTGTACAAGATGGATGACCCCTTTTCTTTCACCTGGACAGCATGGGGTGTCCCTTGGAAAGTCCGGAAAGACCGACTTGAGAACACGTGCCTGAGTGCACAATTTGAGTTGACTGGCAAGGATTTTATGGTCAAGTCTGGCCAGCCTTTCCTGCAAGAATTTTTGTCACCGCCTGGCATGTTTTCGAACCAGTTTTGGGTCAGCAAAGCAATTCTACACTGGGATTGTCCTGCCGCAAGTATGGAAGCTTGGGAAGATGTAGGCGATGCCCTTCATGAGTGCCAAGACATCATATTGAACAGCCATCGATTGCTTTCAGCTGATGAAATTCCATCTCTGTCTCTTGTTCGTCCTATGGATGCCCGTACGGTTGATGTGAATGCCTTGAACATGTTGATGTTTCGTAGTGGTTTTGCAGGAGGCTTGGCATCTGTGACGCAAGAACAAGTGGCACCATTGCTGGAATCCCTGTACTATTTTGAAGGTTGGAAAAATCGTCTGACGGAAGTTGTTCCCTTGTACCGGCAAGATCAGTTGTGTGACTTAGCCGTGTTTGAAGCTTACACTGAGCCCGTCCAAATGAAGCTTCACCCCACTGGAGCCCTAGTGCCTTTTGTGCAGGAAGCGTTCGAAGGAAATGGATCCATTATTTCACAGTTATTATTATTATTTTTTCTTTGGTGGGGGGGGGGCGGTATATTTCCTTGTTTCTTCATTCCAAATTTCGTAGTAGTGCTCGTAGTCGTAGTAGTAGTCGTAGTCGTAGTAGTAGTCGTAGTCGTCGTCGTCTCATTATTATTATTTCCGCGAGATAATACTCGGGCGGCCGGCAGTACCCCCCCTCCCCCCGAACCATTATTATTATTTCGCGGTTTCCGCGAAATAATAATAATCATCGATTTCGCTTCATTATTATTATTTCCGCGAGATAATAATAATGAATCGAAATCGATTCATTATTATTATTTCCGCGAAATAATAATAATGGTTCGGGGGGGGGGTACCCCCATCCAATCAGTAGTAGTAGTAGTAGTAGTAGTAGTAGTAGTAGTAGTAGTAGTAGTGGAAGACATACGAATGAATTGGGTTTCAATTTTGTAGTAGTAGTAGTAGTAGTAGTCGTAGTCGTAGTCGTAGTCGTAGTAGTAGTAGTAGTAGTAGTGGTGGTAGTAGTAGTAGTGGTCGTAGTAGTAGTAGTAGTAGTAGTAGTAGTAGTAGAGTAGTCGTAGTAGTAGTAGTAGTAGTAGTCGTAGTCGTAGTCGTAGTAGTAGTAGTAGTAGTAGTAGTAGTAGTACCCCCCGAACCATTATTATTATTTCGCGGTAATAATAATGAATCGATTTCGATTCATTATTATTATTTCCGCGAAATAATAATAATCATCGATTTCGCTTCCTTATTATTATTTCCGCGAGATAATACTCGGGCGGCTGGCAGTACCCCCCTCCCCCCCCGAACCATTATTATTACTCGGGCGGCCGGCAGTACCCCCCTCCCCCCCCGAACCATTATTATTATTATTATTATTATTATTTGCGGAAATAATAATAATGAAGCGAAATCGATGATTATTATTATTTCGCGGAAATAATAATAATGGTTCGGGGGGGGGGTACCCCCATCCAATCAGTAGTAGTAGTAGTAGTAGTAGTAGTCGTAGTAGTAGTAGTAGTAGTAGTAGTAGTGGAAGACATACGAATGAATTGGGTTTCAATTTTTTTCCGAAGACATACTTTCGCGGCGGAGCCAAAGGGCGGCCGGCAGTACCCCCCTCCCCCCGAACCATTATTATTATTTCGCGGAAATAATAATAATGAATCGATTTCGATTCATTATTATTATTTCCGCGAAATAATAATAATCATCGATTTCGCTTCATTATTATTATTTCCGCGAGATAATAATAATGAATCGAAATCGATTCATTATTATTATTTCCGCGAAATAATAATAATGGTTCGGGGGGGGGGTACCCCCATCCAATCAGTAGTAGTAGTAGTAGTAGTCGTAGTAGTAGTAGTAGTAGTAGTCGTAGTAGTAGTAGTAGTAGTCGTCGTAGTAGTAGTAGTAGTGGAAGACATACGAATGAATTGGGTTTCAATTTTTTTCCGAAGACATACGAATGAATTGGAAGACATACGAATGCATTGGAATACACACAAAATAATAATGTTCCGCGCCCCCCCTCCCCCCCCGAGAAAAAATAAATAAATATAATCGCTCCCCCCCCCTCCACCCACCATCCCCGCCCTAGTACTAGTAGTAGTAGTAGTCGTAGTAGTAGTAGTAGTAGTCGTAGAATAATAATAATCATCGATTTCGCTTCATTATTATTATTTCCGCGAGATAATAATAATGAATCGAAATCGATTCATTATTATTATTTCCGCGAAATAATAATAATGGTTCGGGGGGGGGTACCCCCATCCAATCAGTAGTAGTAGTAGTAGTAGTCGTAGTAGTAGTAGTAGTAGTAGTAGTAGTCGTAGTAGTAGTAGTAGTAGTAGCAGTAGTAGTAGTAGTAGTGGTGGTAGTAGTAGTAGTAGTGGAAGACATACGAATGAATTGGGTTTCAATTTTTTTCCGAAGACATACGAATGAATTAAATGAAGAACCGATACGAATGCGAATGCTAATACACACAAAATAATCCCCCCCCCCTCCACCCACCATCCCCGCCCTCGTACTAGTAGTAGTAGTAGTCGTAGTAGTCGTAGTAGTAGTAGTAGTAGTAGAGTAGTCGTAGTAGTAGTAGTAGTAGTAGTCGTAGTGGTA